TTTGCGGATTAAATTGTAGCATGGGCAAATACATATGAAATGATATAGGTCTTCAATTGCAGACTGGCATAGGTTACATAGAGGGGTTGTTTCTTTGTTATACATAATATTAATTCCATTTAATATTACAGATTTGTTTTTAATTGTAAATCTGGGGTACATTGCTCTTAATTGCATGCCCAACTTAACTAAATTCCATGACATATTTCCATTTAAGAAACCTTCAACCTGGACATGCAATTTAATGTGTTTAAAGTGACATAAAGAGTTTGAGCTTTGCATTCTAATTACATCTTCTTCTACTATTCTATTTCTAATCGTATTAGCTATTATATTTATATTGTTTCTTAAAATATTTATCGTATCTAAATTTACATTTTCCGGATCAAATGAAAATAAGTTTTCACATTCATACTTTTTTAAATAATCATTCAAGTCACGATACCAATTAAATTTCATTTTATTTTTTGAGAATGTACTAGTTTTAATTAGATTATTGAGGACTTGCCTCAATGCAGTACTGTACGGACGTTGCAGTATCTTCAGCACAAACTTCATAGCATTTTTAATTACACTTAATTGTATCGGGTAGCAGTTAGTTTCTAATCTCAGAAACCATAGAGGAGTATGATTAGGCAAGTAAAATAACTTTCGAAGAAATTTTGCTTGAAACATAATTAATTTATCTAACACTCCTACAGCCCATATATGTGAACAGTAGAGTAGTACAGACTTGGTTAATGAATCAAACAGTTTCAGTCTTGTATCAAGTTTTGTTATATTGGCTTTATAAAATAAATAAAAAAGCTCATTTTCAGCTTGTTTTGCTTTTAATAGAAAAGAGTTACAAATGTCGGAGTAGTTCATCCTACTATTAAAGTTGACTCCCAAGTATTTGTATGATTCTGTGCATGCGATCTTGTCATTTCCCCAAAAAACGATTGGTTCTAATCTCTTAGGCTTGCCATTTCTAAAAATCATGAAATTAGTTTTTGAGAGATTAATTTGCATATCATTTCCTATTAAATAATCTCTCAAAATATTTATTTTTTCTTGCAAGTGAATGGCGTTTGTTGCTAACAAAATGATATCGTCCGCATAGCATAGCAAATGAATTTCAGCAGTTCCAATTCTTAAGATAGACAGCTCTATTTATTATGCATGAGGTCAAACAGGTCATTTGTATGAAAGTATACAATTTTGGACTGAGCGTTTCTCCTTGTAGTACAGCTTTTTTAAAGGGAAAGAAATTGCTTTCTCCGTGGCGCGTACGGACTTTTGCCTTCGCTTTGGCATAAATGTTCTTGATGGTATTCAGCATTTTGTCACTAATTCCTGCTAATTTTAACTTTTTCCAGAGCTGATCATGCTTGACTCGGTCAAAAGCTGAACTGAGGTCCACCAGTAATGCATATACCTTTCCCCTTTTATTTCTAATAATATGTTGCAAGATTGAGTTTAACATGAAAATATGATCTTCATAACCCATTCCCTTTCTGTATGCAGCCTGAAATTGTGATATTTTTTCATGTTTCTCACACCACTCATTTAAACGATTTGTCAAAAGCATAGTATACAATTTTAAACCGGTGTTTATTAGGGAAATAGGTCGATAATTTTTTGGATCAAGTTTATCGCCTTTTTTGTATATGGGTGAGATAATAATATCCGCCCATCCATCTGGGATTTGTTGACTCTCCCATAATAAGTTTATGCTATCTAGTAATATAAGTCTTTGCATGTCATTAAGTCCCTTCCATGCTTCATTTGGGATACTATCCGGCCCGGGCGCTTTTCCAGTACTTAATTTCTTGATAACAATATTTAGTTCTGCAGATGTGAAAGCTCCATCCGTATCGTCATTAATTATACTGAGTTCGTCATTTGGAAGTGTGTCCTTTTGTTCATTTGTGTCGAAAATTTTAGAAAAATGGTCATGAAATGCTACAGGAGTAATTGTTTGATCATTGTCGTAATTACCATTACAGTTCCGCTTTGACCTATAGTAATTAATCGCTTTCCAAAAGTCCGACGAGTTTTTAGCGTTACAAAGTGAACTTTGAATTGCATTGAAAAATTTTAATTTCTTCGCCTTCTTAAGATTGATATAAGTTCTCTTCTTCTGTAAGAAAATCAATTTTAATTGGTCTTTTTCTAATTCATTCCCAGCTTTACGAAAATTACGAAGACTACTATTGAAAAGCTTCTTCTCTAACAAGCATTTTTTATCGAACTATCTTGGTCCATACGTTATATTTTTTACTCCTAATATTCTTCTCTTCAACATTTCACATGAATCTATTCCTTTAAGCATGCCCTGTTGAAATTTATCAATTGTGATATTACTACTCTCGCAGTTTTCCAGGATGTTATCGAAATTGTCTTGAAATTGTCCGATTTTATGTACATCCCATTCTACCCTGACTATTTTTGTGAGAGTCTCAAAATGTGGTACTGCATTTAATTTTAGCATGATAGGGAAATGACAAGACTGCTCGCTGGACAAAACCTTGAATTCTTTCTTATCTGTTATTGATTGAGAGGTGATACACAAATCTACAACGCTTGAACCATTCTTATTAACAAAGGTGAAGTCACCGTCTGTACCATGCTCTCCGTTACCATTCAGCAAACTAAGATTATTTTCCTGTATTATTTTAATAAGCTTGGTGCCACGTAAATTAGTGACTTTGTCCTTGGATTTACTTGTATGATTTCCTGTTCTCGAATTAAAATCACCCATGTATATGCAAGAAATCTGTGCTGAATCTACTGCCTGAAATATCTCTTCTATTTCGATGTTACTATTAGGGGGTAAATAGCTAAAAATAATGATTACTTTCCTAAAATTATCGTTTAACTGTATGACGCTATATTCATTCTTCATACATATAACTTTACTAAAATTAACTATGCTATTTTTTATACCAATGTAGTAACCCATCGATGCTCTTCCTTTGATTTTTGATTTCACAGCTTTCATATCAAAAATTGTATATCTATTTGTAATTTTACTGTTTAACATATAGTCATCAACGTGCCATGTTTCACAAAGGAAGAATATCGTTGGGTTAAACTCGATTAATTCATTATAAAATAAGATATTTTTAGACCTTATACCTTCTATATTCCAGGAAATTATATTAAAGTTACTGATCCTTGATTGTTGTGTTAATTGTAGAGGCCGGCCGTATCGTCACGTCATTTGTTTTCCATCCTCCACAATTTGATTAGAGTCATTTATTGTGTACCAGGTTGTAGCTCCTTCCGTTGTAATTTTCACCCGTTTCTTGTAACATCGGAACAGCAGGTCCGGTTTTTCTTTCTTCATGTTTCTCGCAAATTCTCTCAGTTGGGAACGCATCTTTCTTTCCTTGGGTGCCAGATCTTCATCAATAAAAATATTGGTTCCGCTCAGTTTCATGCGAAGGGACAGGATTTGTGCTGCGTCGCGTTGAAGAGCAACGAATAGCTCTAGCTCAAGCAACGAATTCAAAAGAAGTTCTAACGTCCGCTCAAGTGAACGATCGAACGCCTCCAGCTTCTCAATATTTGGCTTTTTCCTTTTAAACTCATAAACTAAAAATGCAATGTCAAGCCCAATGAATACCGGAGCCGTGGCAGCCGTTGCTATGCCAACTTTTGACACAACTTTTCCCACCGTTCCAAGCCCACGCAAAATTCGAAAGTTCGAGATAAATCGTACAGCAGAGAAAGTTTCAGACGCCGCAAATACAGTTCTTGCTGCGGCTCGTGTCCCAATGGAGGCCGCCGCTACGCGATGCACCTGTCAAGAAAGTACGATGAAAGTCCATGCGTCAAGGTATATACACGATGACGGGGTGAAGTGCTACTGATATTTTTTCTCCATACATATACGGTTCTAAGCGGGAATTTGTAAAATGAATTCAATTCCATTCAATACAAAGATTTCAGTTAAAGACAGCTTGTACCTATTAGGTATAGGTATTACTTGCAATTAGATGTAATTTTTAGTATTATATACATATGTAATAGAGGTCAAACAGGTGCACCCGGTTAAATCCGACTTGCATGGAACCGACTATGTTTGTAGTAGTACATATACAAAAAAATTAACTACACTTTTAAGTACCGTAAATTAAGCAAATCTGAATCCTCGTGAAGAAACTGAATGGATTTTAGAAATTCCCTTGTAAAAATAGAGAAAGGGGTACGTTGAGATGAAAAATAAATGCATCAACGCGTCATCCTTTACCACCTTTACCGGCCGAGTTTAGTAGCTACCTATGTATTTGAGGTGACAAAACGACATTGTGTTTTAATTTTGACACCCTATTGCTTACCTGTTGTGATCTCGTCCACCCAAGTTTAAGCAGCATGGCGAAATGCTCGGAGTTATAATTGGCCAAGCTATATTTTCTTTCGCTGCCATGAGCCAATTGTTTCCTCGCACGTTTGACCGTTTCACTAACCGGAAGTTCTAGGCCGTGATAATTCCTTCGGCGCAATTCACGAAGGCCTTCTCCTTTAAGAAATTCCTTCATTTCCTTTAATTTTACGCCATCAACCCAAAAGTCCAGCACTTTAAGTTTAGAACCATCCAAGATACAAATCCCGTGATGTGTGCCCAAAAATTGCATG